GGGGAGCGGCGCCAACCCGATTTACACGGCCCATGCGACTTCCGTCACGGTCGTCCAAGCTCAGAAGGTTATGCAAGGGGCCACGTACGCACAGCAAATGCAGCATCCCGGAACGCAGTGTCACGTGGCGAGCTCTCAAACGAACGTGAATCAGCAATTGCAATTCGGAGTGATGCAGAGTCATCCGGCGGTTCAGTCACAATTCGCGATGCCAGGTGGCACGGTTCTGTCCGGCGGCCAGCAACTCGTTCATCCGAGCACCTCGAGCTATGTTGTCGGCCAACAGCAGCCGTGCTCCACGTCCCAGTGTAACGTCACCAATCTGGTGACGAGCACGGCGAACGCTTCGTACATGCCGCAATCGGTGCACTGTCAGACCGGGATCGTAAAGCCGATCGCCGGGCCCCAGCTGGCAACCGGAGTTGCGAAAATCACCACGTTTGTAACGCACAAACCGGACGAACAACTGACTAGCTCCACAGACGGTACACTCTCCGGGTCTCTGATATCCTCTGCTGTCAGCGACAGCACCATGTCATCGAGCAGCTCGATGACAGAGGAGGCACACCAAGACCAGGTTTGGCAAAGCCTCCTAGGAATGACAATCGCATCTTCTATCTGCAACAAGCATATTGGTTCTCATACAATTTTTTTTTTTTTTTTTTTTTTCGTTTCTCGAGACGCTGCACAACCGGCACACCTCTGTTGCGAATCAAATGTGTACATATACGCGCAAACATGCTTTTGGTTAATGCAGACGCGCTCCACACTCTCCGTTTGAGTTCACACACGTACACACAGTTACAGTGGGCCTATTCTACTTTCGTTTTCGCAAAAGCTAGACACGACGATTTCGTACCGATTTCATAATTTTTTTTTTTTTTACCTATTTTTCCTTATTGCGCAGTTTGGTAGGCTAATCCTTTTTTTTTTTTTTTGCATGACGAATGGATATGATAATACAAATAACGTGGTCATTGTAACAATTTGAGCTGCATGCGACCAGTATGATTGCACTATTCTCATTCTGAGATCGATTTTGTTTGCATCGAGAATTATGCATCTCTTTAATTTTACCGTGTACATATGTTCATTAAAGGAAATTATAACAATGAATCGTATTGTATTTGAATTTCAGAAATGTAAGATGGTGTTTGCTTGTTTCAGAGATCCGTTCAGTCGCAGTTGTTCGACAGCGTCACTGAGAATTCGAGTGGTGGCTTTGACGATGAACAGAAGTTATTGGAACAACGGCTGTTGGAACAGCAACGCCAGTCGGAAGAGGATAGTCGTTGGTTGGCCAGAGAAGAAGTAATAAAACGTTCAAAGACTTGTATATGTATTTTAAAGATCAGAATCTATCTAGGAAAATTCTATATAAATATGATTACGTCCTTAAATTATCTCATATTAATACTGTACGCCTGTTTGTCCCTATTTAGAAACGATTATCTATTGCAACAAGTGGAGATGAAAGTTCCAGTCCTCCAGTTCCCCGCTCAGTTACCCAATCGCCGAATCACGAACAACATAGTGCTAATACTGGATCTCTTGGTTCTGATAAAGGCAGTGAAAAAGTGATCGTTGTAAAAGTACTGTTCTTGCAAGTAATCTACTACCTCAGTCTGATAAGGGAAGTAGCTAAAATTATGTTTTATTTATAGAAAATGGAACCGACGCCGACTGCAGATTTAGACAGAACCAACGACAAAGTATACGACTGCACTACCAGTGTAGTTCGTGCCGTGATGTCACTTTCTCAAGGTATACATTTTTACTCCTTCGTATAATACCGTCTAAAGCACCATATTTCATAAGATCATAACCTCAGGGGTGCAACAAAGCAAGGCGGAACAATATTTAGAATTGGTACGCAAAGTTGGTATTGAATTGAGAGAGCTCCTCTCATCCGTGGACGCTCTGATGGACATATTACCTACATCTGCTCACCGTGAAGTAGAAATGGCGCATAAAGTTCTAAGCAAAGACATGTCTGAACTCGTTACTGCCATGAAACAAGCGCAGAAGTATAGTGCTACTACTTTAGACGCGGAGTATCGAAAGTACGTGCTTCGATTAGTATTAAAAGTACTATACTTAAGTATAATAAGGTAATCAATGGAGGTTTCAATGGAATTTATGATAATTTCAGAGGAATGCTCTCAGCTGCTCATATCTTGGCAATGGATGCAAAAAATTTGTTGGACGTTATCGACTCGATACGCATTCGTTACCCTTACGTAGACAGTCAGATTAACCAAAAGCAAAATGATATTAGTGTTCCCCAAGAGTCCACGCCAGAAGGTCGTATCCGTTCCAGTCAATCTGGTGAACAATTTTTGAGAAGAAGTCAGTCGACCGAACGCCAAGGTACAACGTTTAGACAGAGCCAAAGCGGCGATCTTTTACACAGGATGGGCCAGTCAGTAGACCGTTCGCTACAGGTAAACATATTGGGGCTAAAAATTAATAGTGGTTCGCAAATGCAGAGATCGATATTGCTATCGTTTAAATTTTGTCCCATTTAGGGTAGTCAGACCGACGTCAGTACCGGTTCAAGTCTAGAAAGAAGGCACCACATCGTCACCAACAGTCTCGAACGTAATTCAACAACCCGAAAACAAATGGCGACGAATAGTTTAGAGAGAAAAAGACCATCGTTATCTTGTAATGTTACTCCCATGAACAATTCGGTTAATTTGCCACCGATGGTACCAGTCAGCTGTAATTTAGTCCAAACGGTAGGGCCTGTTATTCACCCCAGTCAAACCGCCTCCACGGGTATTAGTCAACAGTTTGCACCTAACAATAACACGGCAAACGAATCCGCGACAAGTGATAGCTAACAACGAGGTGCCTTGCATTAAGGTAAATTTCACATACGCATTGGCCGATGAAAGCTAGACATTTCTGGTTTACTGATTACGCTCGTGTTTTAGGGAAACTTCAAAGAAATACTAATTTGTACATATATAGACGACATCATATAAGTTACCCGTCTACATCTCGCGTATAACTCAGCAACAAGAGATTTAGTATTTGTGCTTTATAGCTCTTTTTAACATTTACCTACAACAGACTTTGTCTAAACGTACTTATAGATAAGACACAGTATTCGCTAGATGTAGCAGTAGAGGAAGTATCATTAAAAATAAGTCACAGCTATAAGGAAATCACTCCAAAGCTTTAGAATTATTGTTAATTTGTTATTGTATGACAACCGCATATATAGGGTGACGCAAGAGGCACCCTCAACCGTAGACGGTTGTAATTCGTTGCCACACTTATAATCCAGGTTCATTGTCGATGCAACCATATAGTTTCAGTCCCCTTTCATAACATTATTAAAAATTAATTACAGAAATAGTTATCGTTACAGCATTACGACGTGTACGATGTAACATCCCAGACATGGTCTCCTTGCATCACCCTGTAAGGTAGTTGAATAATTCTATATATATATATATATATTATATTTATAAATATATATATTTAAACAAATAGTTCAAACGGTAATAACTCACGGAAATTTAATTTCATGTAGGACATGATCTTACAACGTTGTTTTACGAATCCATAATTTAATAGCCTATTTCCTGCTACGGGGAGTGATTACAATGTAAAAACAAAGAATGGGACTGAATGTTATTTCTATTAGGTAATTATTTAGCGATTCATACCGATTTGTGAAACTTATACAAAATGTTTTATAAAAAAAAAGCGAATCATTCTTCAATGGCAAGTCAGTTCCTACGAAATATTTATAGAAAATTTCATCCTTGCATAAGAATAGTATTGACAATTTGTCAACGCGATGCGCCTGTGTGTGCAATGCATTTACGAATCTATCCAATATTCCATAGGTATAAAGTATTCCATTTTTATAGAATTTGTTACTTTTCGCGATCCTGGGAAAGTTCACTTTCATATAGAAGTGGAGTTTTTAACTAATTTTGAAAAATATTTTTCACATTTATTAATTGCGCGTTTTTGTGTCGCATTATTCAATAACAATGAAGGTTCTAAATAGTAATGTGCCAAGGCGTGTGTGCTTATGTACTTCAAATAAATTTTTTATTAACGAATTATCATCCCAGGAATTTGTAATTTATAATTTACGATTACAGTGTTTGTCGTTGCAAAAGTATCAAAAGCATAAGATACTTTTTTCTTGGATTACATTAAATGTATATAAATAGATATTCAAAATTCATATCTTTTAATAACGATATTGACAACTGATTAAGTATTGTTTTTAGATAAATTTTATTCTTCGTGCATGGTGTATACACCATGTGTATAATTACAAAAATTTCAGATATTCAAGTAATTTTTCGTATTCACTTGTATCATGTATTTAGATATTTACATTGTCTCCAGTATCATAATGTTTATTCTGTGAGGTATAATTTTCGTTCGATTCTTTTATATTACATGTAATTATCGCAACTGTGTCGTGATGAATATCATAATATGTGATGATATAATTAAAGTAAAGAACAAAGGTTATAATACAAAAAAAAACTTAGGTCTGCATATCTTCGGGATAAATTGAACTAATCATCCAGTCATCGAATTAATCATGTTTTCGTGAATTTATTCGATTACTTGAACCAATGAATCGACCGGAGAACGTTAAAAGCTTTTTTCATTTTAGTTCTACGGCCAAAGTTGTTCTGTAATCATGTTGCACGATACAAGATTTTGTAATCAACGACGGAACGATAAACATACGAGCCATTTGTAATTGTTAGTATCGGTAGATGTTCTCCGAACTACAATAGCAGTTCTTTAAGAGAGAATAAGTATTGATGCGACGGCAGCCTACCCATGATCGATCGTGTAACTTATCAACTAAACGACGAGTGATAAAAGTAAACACAATGCGTAATAATATTTCAAAGATATTTATAAAATTGTGTAAATGTAACTATGTATCATGATCACGAGCGAAATAAACAGCGCGAATGATTTCAGAATCACGAACAATTTCCAATCAACTATTTACCATGCTTCGAACTGTAACATTTAACGCCGTTCACCATCGAACATCTAGCATATTTAGTGAGCAGTGCATTAACATTCATTTTGTTCGTCGCCAAGTTTCTGGAAAAAAAATCTGTACAACAGGAACAGAAAAAAATATACATAATAAGAGTGTAATTGTTGTTTCACTTACAGTACATAGGGTGTTATTTCTTGTACTGTCCATTTGTCTTTTGCTTTAAAAAGTTCATTGAACCTCTCATTGATAGTCTTTGGCAAATCTGTTTCTAGGAAAGATACTACTTCTTTTTTCAATGTTGAATTGTTCCATGTCACTAGAGCTATGCCACTCAAATATTCCTCTTTTGGTTCCATTTCTATACAAATAAGAAATACAATGTAAATCTATGGTGAATCTGCAAGTTTCTCTTAAGGAAATCTTAACTTACTTTCTGGAGTGCCAATACGCCAAGAATCCATAAACTGTTTATGCTCTGTCACCGGTGAAGCAGCCAAAAGAACCTTTGCTAAACTTTTGCAGCATATTTCTTCGCTGTATCTGTAACATCATCCCTAGTTGCAAAAATACAGAAATAAAGTGCATATTAGATATTCTAAGAAAAAATTCAAATACCTATACAGAGATGCTCCACCTTGCTTTGATTTATCAGTCTCTTCTGTATACTTTGTGAACAAAATATCAAAAACTGGCTTAGGAATAAATTCCTTCAAGGAGTTATATGTAGCTTCCTTATCCACCTCATCTAATTCCCAATTATTTTCATCAAAGAGATCTAACATTAAAGTTAAACTGCGTACCTCTGCTTCAAATGATATCAAGCGAAAATAACCTTTGAATAAAGATAAGCAGACCATAGACAGAACAATATTTATATTAATGTTAAATGATCCAAATAGAGATCATTCAATAGATCTTTTCAAACAAAAATTTAATACCATCCATATTGATTATTAAATAATCACTTAATGCTTGGTTTAGTTCATCTTCACTGGCTTGTATTTCACTTCGTAATCTACGCCAGTTATACAAAAATTCTTGAGACACTAAAGACTCATACTCTATTCCTTTGAAAGATGTCGGCTCAAGAATGCTTAGCAATTTTTCCAGTTTAGGTTTGCATTCCTTTACCTAAATTATTTTGGAAATATACAAGTCACAAATTTACAAATACTCTCTTCAAATATAATTTCTATACCTCGCAATATGTATGAAAAACCCCTGAGATGTTATAGTTCTTCATTACTTGATCATTTGTATGTGCCTTTGTTTGTTCAAACAAATTCAAATTTGGTACTAACAAGCAGGAATTAGACGTTTCTGCCTCCTTGACCTCATATGTTTTACTTTTAGTACATAATACCACAGAATCCTCTTTGTTACCTTGAAATGTTAAACTAAAATGTTGCAGATAGTATCAAGTTATTCGAGACTAAAACCAAATGTAAAAAACATATACCTGTTTCCATTTTTTATAGTCTCCAACAGGTGTTCATCGAGTTCTAACAACTTTGTACGTTTTTCTGCATTATATTCTGTCGCGGAATACAAAATCTGTGTCACATTTTGCAAACTTGGCTCTTTGATAACAGCTAACTCCAAGGTTTCGCGTATCTCATCCATCGTTCGCATATGTCTATAAAGATAAACATATTAAGTATCTTTTGAATGTTTATACAAACAAAATCATAAAACAAACTGTAATATATATGTACATAAATACCTGGTATGTAAAGTATCCATCGCATAGAATTTGTTGGAAGAACAGGTTAAAGTGATCAACTATCGCAAAGATAATTAACGTGATTCAATTAGTTTAAATGCCAACTATTAAGTAAGTAAATTATTAATGATAACATAATTTTATTAAATACATGAAGAAAACAAAATGATAGCTTTTTCCGCGCCACTATTTTCCCGTCCAATCGTGACGTGCAGCGCGTGCAGCTAAATCGAAGATGGAGAAGAAGATTCGCCGTATCGAAAATCGTCGGACACAATAGTAGCCATATTAATTGCTATCGTGTTTGTTAAGAAACTTTACCGTGAACGAAAAGTCTAAATTTTGTATAAATTTTCTTTTAAACGAGGTACGTATAACCTGTTACTTGTAAGTGATATGCAGTAAATAGTCCGTCATTGAAGTTTCTCTTATCCAAATAGTTGCAACTCGAACACAAAGTTACGCTAGAAAGTAACAATGTCCTTTTGTTTTCCTGTGTATGCATGACTTCTTTTCCGTACTCGTTTCTCTATTGAAATCTACTGAAATAAACGATATGTCGTTATTGATTGATAATATGTATTTTTGTATACTCTTCAATTCATTGTAACGCGTTGTCTCTTAGCGTCTAAAGTAACCTCTTCTTTCACACGAATCGATAGAATAAAAATCTGACCTTTCGTTAAGACAAGGATATATCGTAAGTATTTATATGTACGTATATAAATAGGGCTTAGTGGTGTTATAGCTGTTCAATTTGAAGCAAAGATTTGTGTTTTTAAATAATTCGATTTAATCGAGTCACAGTTTAATCGCAAATTGAGATTTCATATACACAAACACAACAGGCAACTAATTGAAGTTTATACATATTATGTATTCTGTCCAAAACAGCATAAGTCCACTGCATAATACTCACAAGAAGAATCAAAAACATTAATGGAAAATTACAGAATATAAACAAAAAAAAACTGGTTTTCTTAACACGTTAATTGATGGACTTGTGTTATTTTAGAATTTATAGCTTCAGTTGAATATATATTAAGAAATAATTACTTGTTTCTTCTACAGATACTGTACGTCTAATAAAACAGAAACATGCCGAATGATATGAATATGCAATCTGAAAAGGTATGTTTGCTCCTTTATATTATTATGCATGCTTAACTCTTGCATGACTATTGGAGTATGTTAAAACATATTTAAGATATCTTCTTTTCTAAATATGTATACCATTAAATGGTATGTACCATTGCAATTGGGCTGCTATTTCATTGATTCCTCTAATTGGAAAACAGGAAAATCATGGTAATAGGTTCATTCATTAATGTTAATTTTTCTTTGGATCAAGCCCAATGAGGAAGAAACTGCCAATAATGCAGAAGAAGAAGAAGTCAGTTCAACTGTTGACCTGCATGCGGTACCTATTTCTGCAAATTAAAGTTTTGCTGCTTAATCTTTTCTTTCTTTTTTTTTTAATTATTTACCCTGTCTTCCAATACTAACAGTAGTTTTTGTTATATGGTAATTAGAAGTACAGACATAATATTTAAATGTATTTTTGAGACAACACAAAGTAAGCGATGGTCTACAATTTTAGCAGGAAAGCGGACCTGTTTATGGTGGTTGTGAAGGGCCAAACGCAATGTATGTAAAACTGATCAGCAGCGATGGACACGAGTTTATTGTAAAGCGTGAACATGCTTTAATTAGTGGAACAATCAAAGCTATGTTAAGTGGTCCTGGTCAGTTTTCTGAAAACGAAGCCAACGAAGTAAATTTCCGTGAAATACCGTGAGTTTCATATATTTCCTACAGAAGATTCTGATATATTACAAAAGAATACGTCAAATTACCTATACATTTCATTTGCAGCTCCCATGTATTGCAGAAGGTCTGCATGTATTTTACCTACAAAGTACGTTACACAAACAGCAGCACAGAAATACCAGAATTTCCAATTGCACCTGAGATTGCATTAGAATTGTTAATGGCTGGAAATTTCTTAGACTGCTAAGCACAATGAACAATGCCAGTGATTAGAAAGAATTTAGCATTGGACTTTAACAAAATCTTTTGTTACAATTCGTACTTTAAGGTTTCCTAATGAATGATGATGTATTCTTGAAGAACATGGACTCCTTGTGCTCTCCTTTTTATGTTTGTAACCATAGAACACTCAGTGCAGTGTAGTTATGGTTCCAAGAACAAATTATTGAGCTGTATTAAATGGAAAGATTTGCAAGCATAAACATACAAAATATTTTAAAATGCGTTAAATACTTTTTAACATAGATGTTATAAACTTCAGTGAACAAACAACTGAGAACTTACAACTGACACACAACAAACTGATTATATTTTATCACTTTCGTTACATACCACAGTGGCATTCTAAATTATTTTGCCAAAATTTTGTAGAAAATACTATACTCGCGTAACATTACAGATATAATACCTGATGCAGCAGATTATGCCATGTAGAATGAATAGGGCATTTAATCAGATAATTATACATTAATGGAAGCTTGGATACAGTTTTGTAGAAATAAGTTTCTGTAACATTTAAGAATATTTATTTTCTGCTTACAAGCATAGTATAAATTACTTCCTGTACATTATCTTTTAACAAATTCTGTAACAATATCTAATATTTTTCAAACAAAAATTTACATGTAGATTAATAAGTAAACTACAATACAATTAGAATAATCGAAGAATTAAAGTACAGTATGTGATATATTGTAAGGCAAGATGTAAACTATTAATCTTTTACAGTTCCATTATATGAAATATGTTGTAAAAATGTCAATGTTATTTTTTACCTCTGTTTGCTTGCAAGGGAACAAATACAGTAAAATTAGTTCCCACGTGCAAGTCAGTAATATTATAATTATCTAACAACCAAAATTGATTGCTCATTTTTACTTTACATACAAACAATTATAAAACAAACTGCATACACAATAAAATAAATCCATTTATAATAAAAATATCACGTCATCTTAATCTTCTTTTTTATATTTATATAGTATGTACAGATATTTTTCCTCAATGTCTTTATTTGATTCACTTGTTCTTTGCATCTTTCTCGATGTCTTTAAACTTTGCTTCCAATCGTTTCGAGTACGATGCTAATTTATATGCTGCCTGTTCAAGCTTGTTGACACTATCATCGATCTCGTTAATGTTGTCCAAAATAGGCTGTAACTTTTTATATTTTTCATTTAAAGAATCCAGCGACTGAGCTACACTGGAAGATATGGTTTTTAATTCGGTGTACTTTGCGATTGTCTCTTTATTTAATCGTTCCAATAAACGATAATCGGCATGAGTGGCTGTGAGTTCCTCCTGCAGATATTCGCCAGTTTTCTGAAACATTGTGTTGGCTAAACGACTAAGATTCGGGTCGTGAGGATCCAACGCTTCAAAACTACTTGTACTAGTTGACAGTGTAGTTCCGCGTTTTGGTGAATCACACCTCGAATTACGATCCGTTATACTTTCAGCATGAGGAAGTGACTCCACTTGTGTATCTTCTTTTAACTGATCCTTAACCGATGTCATATTGTTGCAGATACTTTACGTTAAACAGAGGCAACTGTCAACTTTTTACAAACACACAACTAGGGTTGAATCGATACCATCAAGGTATCGATACTTTTACTCATAACTAGTTTTGTAAGAAGGTATCGAAACAAAAGTATCGATACCTACTTGTATCGAATTATATTTTCCTAACCTTGATACCTAACAGAAAAGTTGATACTGCGATGATGAGAGGGAATAACATACAATATACTTATATACTTTATAGATTTATTCAAATATTTAATATAACATATAAAACATATAAACATGAACGTATGTATAAACTATATACGCTACACGTAATGTAAGTTATACATGATAACAAATATGTACATCAGTGTACAACTCGCACACACGGGGTCTCTTCTGCAGCCTCCGGTGGTTCTATAACCCCAAATTCTCCCCACACGGGGTCTCTGACGCCACCTGTGGGGGCTCTGTGACCCCACGTTTTACCCACCCGGGGCTCTGACGCAACCGGCGGGGGGCTCTGTGACCCCACGTACTCCACACACGGGGACACTGGCCCCACCTGCGGGGTTCTGTGACCCCGCGTTCTCGCCACACGGAGACCCTGGCGCCAACCGTAGGGCTCCATAACGTCATTCCCTCACCGCGGGGGGTCAATTACGCCATCGCCGGGGGTTCTATGACCCCACGATCTCACCACACGGGGTCTCTGGCTTATTGCAGAAACTAACTACTGCCTACGTCTGTTAACCAACATCAGTCAAGTCCACCCCTGCGCCCCTCTTAGTTTTGTAGCGTTGAAACGCGGCGCGTTTAGGAAATCTCGCGTACGTAGCCGTACCCCTTCGTTGAAGTTTTTATTTTTGTACCGTCACGGCGTGCGCTGTGACCAATGACGTTCATTGTCGTCGATTGACACGATTTATATTCGATTACGTAGACCATCGTGGGTTAGGGGAGAGAACGTGACAAAAGGACCAGCCCCCAGGATCGTACATACGCGTTCGTTCCTTTTTCTCGACTTGTGATCTCATTTCTTCGCTGAGAAAACGATCGTGTTTCGTTTTTGTTCTTTTTTTTAATCGTGAAAGGGAGGGGCGGGCTGTGTGTGTGGTTCGATTTATCGTAAAAATCTCGTGTTCTACTCATGAAGCATTTGCAAAGCATTTTTTCACGATTCTGTGTCTCCACGATTGGAGGAAACGATGGAGCGATACTCTTTCATGTGTACCTAACAAATTCGGTCTTGTTCCGTCAAGACCGTACGGCAATTACCCCCTCCCCCCCCCCAATCCCGCAATACTAGACTTATCAGAGAATGACTTTCGCAACTGTACAAATCGACAAGTACAAGAATTTCCCCGATTTTTTCTCCCCGGACGAGGACATCGTTTCTGAAAAACGAAAGAACGCCTCCCACCCCCCTCACCGTACTTCCGTCTTTCAACGGCAAACCGACCGACCAAATATATAGATAGGCGTTCCGTTACTCAACGCATGTTGCGAAAGTGTCGTCTTCGCGAACATGAAAAAAAAGAATAAAGAAATTTCGCTTGACCGCGAATTTTTTCCCGCCAA